ATTTGCCGTTTGATACCCTTGACTGCAAAATTTTGCCATAACCTTTGAGTGTCGTTCTTTTTTGTTTGTTCTTTCATTCTCTTGAGTTTTGATACTTTCGCTTTAAATGTTAATTACATAATTATGCAATTTTCAACACTTGTTTTACAATTTTCTTCTGCTGCTGGATAATAACAACAACAGTTGGAAAAAAATTAACAGCTCATTATACAAATTAATGCAAAATACCAAAGTAAATAATTAATGGTAGCAATATGAAAATCACCGGAATCAACTAACTGGGCCTCGGAAAGACCAAAGCACAAAAATGCAAAACATTGAGGACAATAGCGACTAGAAAAATGCTGTTAAAAATATAATTACAATTATGTTATTATCCTGTTATGCAGATTTGATTTTTTTGTCAGCATCAGAGAGAGATGGACAAAAAACATAAACGGACGTTTGCAATGCAAATTACTTTTTTTGTTACAAAAAGAAAAGGGTTATAATGTAATAAAGGCTTCAAAGGCTCTAAAATTTAAAAATTGCATTAAGGAACTCTTAAAATATTTCAATTTTGTACCATTTTAAAAAAAATTCTGTATCAAGGAAATCTTAAGTATAAAAATACCTTTCAAATGCACATTAAAGTCTCTTTGAAAATACATTTCCTATAACATTACAAAATAAAATCTTTAAATATTTGGCGGCATATTTGTTGTGCCTTTTAAAAATTTGTGGCATAAGGTTGAGCACATATGTAAAACAAAAAAAAAATTAAAATACTTCAAAGAAATATGCACCCCATTAAATCTACAAAACTGTAAAGGAGTAAACAACCTGCTAAAAATTGGCTCTATTGAAGTAAATTTGCCGGCTTGCAAGTGCATTTAATTCTTGAGCAGTTCAAAGCAAAGGGTTAATCCAGAACAAAAGTTTTAGAATTCAATTTTGGGTTTTGCGGCATTTTCCAGATTTTAAAGTGGCAATGCATCCGCTGGGGTATTTAGAAGAGCGGCAGTTTAAAGTGATTTTTTTTGTTTTAATGTGCGGCTCATTAAAAAAATGATCATTACTTAAAAGTTTGGGTTTGATGTATACATACATTATATTTGAATTTCCAATCCATTAAATTGTTTAAACATAACATAAACCCATTAAACAATTTAAAGCTCTTCATAAATATAAACGCCTAGGAAATCTTGTTCTCCCATTTATGGAGATGTATGTAATTGTATTTTTAACACACGCGCATATTGAAGAGTCTACTAAATCAGCTGATGTGAGTTTAGTTACAGTTTATCTTGAAGGTAAAATAAAATGAAAAGAAAAAAATGCAAGAAGTCGGTTTAAATAAAAATCGCAATTGATTTGACAAATTAAATCCATTTTTCAATTTGCTAAATTTTTACCATGTAAAAGTCTTGTTTAGATTAACGGTATTCACATTCAAATGTCAATCTCCTCCTACAATTGATTTGACTAAATGTAAATCCACTGGATTACATTTGTTAAATACGCTATGAACTTGACATTTGAAATCGAGTGAATTACAATAAAAAACGTGAAATAACAACTGAAATTAAAATTTCAGCAGATACGATTTTTTTTTTATAGTTTTACCGAGTTAACCGACTTTATGACGATTTATTTGCCATATATGCAATGGAATTGACAATTTAAAAAAATTCATTATTATTTTAAGGCAAAATTAATATTTAAAAATTGAACGTGAGATAATTAAAAAGCAGGGCAAATATTAAAGCGCGTTATCCTAATGTTAATTGTGACATTATCAAATCTGTTTTAATAAATCTTCTCATTTAGTTTCCTGGGGTTTTATTCAATTTTCTAGAGTTTTCATAAAAATTAACCCCAAAAATATTTTTCAAATACCAATCTGTAGAAGTTTTATATTGCAAATTTATGTAATTGAACGACATATTATTATTTGCTAAATATCTTTGCCACACGTCCTTAATAAAGTATGTATAATTTTTGATCTGCTGACTGGAAATTTTATCTGATTTACAAATTAATGTCTAATTTCAAGGTAAAATGAAATAAAAGGAAACTAATGCCAGCCAAAGATTAAAATACAGGACAAATAAAATATTAAAAGGTCTCAAAGGAAACTTTGACATTATCACACCTATTTGATTAAATTTTCTGATTTAGATTGTCAGTTTGCTGGATTTTTCTATCCAAATAAATGAAATAGCAGGCTGAATCGTCTTTAAATTGCAAAATTATGTAATTAAAGGACAAATTAATATTTGTCAAATACCTTTGCCACACATCATCAATAAAGTAGGTATACATTTTAGATCAGCTGTGAAGCTTTTAAATGTAATGTAGTGCATTTTAATGTTTAATTGAAGTAGAAATGAAGAAGAAAATAAATGAAGTATCAAATCTATAGGGTCTTTAGTTTGCAAATGTATGCAATTAACCCTTTCAGTGTTTTTGTCGAATATATTTGACATTTAAAAAATCTCTTTCTTTGCGATTTTTCGATTATCCTATGTATTGTTAACATTGATGTTTTTCTTTTTGCTGAAAAACAGACGAAACTTTCCGAGGGTTAAAATGAAAATTGTTTTTTTTCTACACTCTATGCTTTTATATGATTTAAAGTACAAAATTTTAGATTTTTATTCCGACAAAAAAAAATTTTTGACACTGAAAGGGTTAATAGATAATTTGCCACACATCGTTATTAAAGTATGTAGATAACTTAGATCAGCTTGTCTGGGTTCATAATTGTATCTAGTTTACAAGGCAAAATGAAATAAAAAGAAAAAATGGAAGTAAAAATTAAGAATATCAAATCAAAACCCATCAGTAGAGACTTTAGTTTGCAAATTTATGCAAAAGAACACATTTTTTGCCACACATCGTTGTTGAAGTATGTAGTTATTTTAGATCAGCTTTCTAGGTTTACTATTTTATCTAGTTTGTAATTTAAGGTAAAATAAAAATAAAATGGAAATTAAATTGAAGAAGAAAAAAATCAAGTTACAATTTACAGGGCCTTAAAAATGTAAACATATACAATAAAAAGAAAAATACTATTTACAAACACATTCTTATTAAAGTCTGTGTACATTTTAGATCTCCTGTTAAGGTCTAAAATTTCATCTATTTTGCAATTTAAAGTAAAATGAAATAAAAAAGGAAAAATGGAAGTGAAAATGAAAAATCTGTAGGATCTTTAGTTAGTTAAATTTATGAAATTAAATTATTATTTGCCACACATCCTCATTAAAGTATGCGTAAGTCAGCTGTTTAGGTTTTAAATTTCATCTAGTTTACATTTTTAAGGTAAAATGAAATAAAAAGAAAAATACCAGCCAATATTTCCAAATATTTAACCTCGAGAAAAGAGTAAACTTCAAGGCAAACAATAAACCCTGTTGCCCTGCACAGGCGCATTTTTTCGCCCTGAAGTTCATTGTTATTTTCGGAGTTTTTTTTTTGTTCTTGGTTGGCAAAGACAGCCATATTTGTTTTACGATTTGCTGTTACGCAAGCAAAAGAGGAAGCAACAACTCCTGTTATCCTTGAAATAAGGCAGAATTCCGCAAAAAAAAACACAGGGAAGAAATCTTGTTAAAAAACCACTCAAAACTTTTTTTGGATGTGTGTGAGTGCGAACGACGAGAATGAGGTACAAATTAATGGCTGATGTGTTTTTTTGTTGTTGTTGTCCTTTACATTTCGTATATGCCAACCATATTCATATATCAAGGATGTCAAGGATTTATAACGCCCCATGGCAATTATAGCTTTGAAGAGGAATGCCTGCAAGTAGAGAGTAGTGAAATTGAAATTCAATAAGCCATTCGGGGGTTTCTTTTCCAACTTCAAAACATTGTCATTCGTATAAACCAAAAACCCGGGGAATCAATCTATAGAATTTTTTAATTGAAGTGTTGTATTTTTTTGTTGTTGTTGCCGCCAAATGGTGGCCTATTGCTGGTTGGCGGGATGATGATGACGATGATATGCAAACAATAAATATGCAAGCGTTGCAAAAAAAAAAAAGTTCTGGCGTTCTGCTCTTCTTCGCGGTATGTGAGTATAGGTTATTGGCAATTGTGTTGTAGTTAATTGAATTTTAATTTCAAAAAAAAAAAAAAAAATTTCCGCCACGCTCATCTGCAGAAGAGGAACCCAGGGGGTTTCCGAACTTGCTGTTATGAAGGCGTTGCTAATTTTTTGCATTGAAATAACTTGTTACCAACGCCATAATGTATGCACTTAGGGTTTTTTGGAATACAAAGTGCGGATCTCTGTGTGTATGAGGCCGATGCTGCTGCCTATTGTTCTCAATTTTCGTGGTGGATTTTTTGTTTGAATGGTAAGGCTTATAATGGGTGAAGTGCAATCATAATGGCTGCTTAATGCAATTTTGCCATTATAAGTGGCCATGTGGAGGTACGGCTGATGAGGAAGTATGCTGTAGGCTGTTGAAGTAGCTTTTTATTATTATTTTTTTTTTTTTCGAAAAGAAATATTTAAAAAACTGGCAATTTTCGGCAAATTTCTAGCCCAAAAGAAATCCTTTTTTGATGAAAAGAATTTTGGAATTTCAAGTTTAAAAACGTGTGATTTTTGTCACTAATTAAGTTGCACTTGAGCCAAACACCAAAGTTCTTTGAAATATTTTTTTCTTCAAAGAATTGTCCTTTTTTGATTGCCGTGCACCTCATTAAATTTGTAAAATTGATTTTTGTGCTAAATCCCGACTTTTATGTTTTGCGACTTTATGGGCCATGATGATGCACTGCAGCAGCAAATCTCTAAGCTTTCTTCTTTTAATAGAATTTCAAATGAAAGTCATTTCCTGGTGGTTGCAAACTTAATCAATCCTCAAACATAAACCTGGTCATGTTTGACGGTTGTAAATTATTCCCGACCCGGCAAGAAGGAGAAGTGCACATGCTGCAGTCCTGCTCTTTGCAATAAATTCAAGTTCATAAAATTTATCTGTTTTCTGTTTTTTTTTTTCTTACCTGTATACGATCTTCGGCCAAACCCGTTTTCATTGATAGCAATTCCCTGGCACTGACATCCGGATAATGGGCATCTTTGAATGCCTTTTCCAACTCCTCCAATTGATTACTCGTAAAAATCGTACGACCATGACGACGTTTATTTTTCTTTTTACCACTGCCAGCGGGACCGAGTAGTACACCATCTGGCCCCGTGGCCGGATGATGGCCAAGCAAGCCATTTGCTGCCGCCCCAGCTGCACCATTTAGAAAAGCTTCATGATGTGCTGCTGCCGCCACGGCTGGATTATGGGCATGGGCATGATGATGTGCAGCAGCAGCTGCTGCAGCCGCATGATGTGCTGCCGCTGCCATGGGATGGCCATGATGCTGAGAATGGGAGTGAGCATGGTGTGCAGCAGCCGCTGCGGCAGCATGATGGGCCAATGCCGCGGCAGCATGCTCGGCAGGCGACAATGTTGGCCGGGTGGGGGTGCCAGGTTGATTGGTGGAGGAATTATTTGTTGAGTTGGGGGTATTATTGGTCGAAGAGGATGAGTTATTTTGGCTGCTGGCTGAGGCTGAACTTGATTTGCTGGGTGAATTGTCATCATTGTTGTTATTACTGCTGCTGTTTAGGGGACCTGAATAATCGGCACCGGCTCGGGTTGCTTGGTCTGTAAAGAAAAAATGGTAACATTTTAAATTAAAATCAAAAAAATTATTGAATAATTAAAATATAAAAATTCCTAATCTTCCGTAGGGATCTGAGAAAATGGTGCAGGGTAAAATTAAATAAAAAGAAAACATCGTAAATAAATTTGTTTTTATTTTACGAAGAGGCCATTATTTAAGTCAGGAGGAAACTCGGAAAGTCTTGTAATATGAAATAAAAAGAAAAAAATCAAAATAAATTAAAATGAAATAAAAAAACCCGATTTTTAAAGTTGGGTGAAAAACTGCAAAAGCCTGTAGTGTAAAACGAAATAAAAATAACTCAGAAAATTAATTTTAATGTAAATTAAAAAGGGGGAAATGCTAATTTGACACAAGATCTCAGCCCGATTATTAAAAGTTGGGCCTTTCTGAAAGTCCAGAGTAAACTATGAAAGTCTTGCAGGGTAAAATGAAATAAAAAGAAAAAGTCACTATCAAAATGTTCACAATTTATTAAAAATTTCAGAAAATTGATTAAGTTTTGAAGTAAAAAAATAAAAAAAATAAATTTTCTGAATACTAAATCGGCACATAAATCCAAGCCCGATTATCAAAAAGTTTTGTACAGATTTTTATAAAATTAATTTTGTTCTAGTTTTGTAAATACAGTCGAAATGGTTTTTAACGAAAAAATCGCTTTCAAAATGTTCAAAATTTAAAAAATAATTCGGAAAATGAAGTTAATTTTTTAAAAAATTTATTTGATATTGTTTAAAGCGAACGATTTTGCCGTTCCCTTGGTCGTCGTTGTAAGCGATTTCGACTGTAATATTTTATTTATAACAATTATAACTTCTATTCCATTTTGTACCTTATTCTATTCTCTTTCTTAATTTACATTTAACTTAATTGTAATTTTACAATCTATTTTAATGTTAACGTATCGATCGTTCGGCAACAACTTGTGAACCACATATGGTTCCTTGAATTTAGTTAATAATTTCTTGTTTAACCCTACAGTGTGTCCACATTCCGAATCACCACAAAATCTCCTACATCAAATGAGTTGCTCACACCCCTTTCTCTTTAGCCCTTTGTTCACTATAATCTTGCGACCTCGCAATGACATCTTCGGCCATATCTCTAATCTGCTGAACACCCTCGACGTTGTAAGCTTTATTCAATCATCTGTTCTCTGTTCTTTTTTTACATCGTAACATGGTTGTATTTTACAATATCAATTAGTATTCGGTAATCATCTTATTACAATAGCTTATTTCCTTAATCTATTCAGGTAGGTATTGAAAGAAATTGCAAGTGAAATAAGAAAAAAGTAATTTGAAGGAAATCTATATTTTAACGATTTGGAGAGAAGATTTTTAAGAAGAAACGGTTGGTAGTATAAATAATAAATATTAAATTTTTAATTACGGTCAAATTGGTTGAAAACCGTTTATGAAAATTAAAATTGTTGCTCTTTTCACTTTCAACCCAAATCACTCGGTCATTCAATCTTCAATTTATAATCCTAATTAACCATAATTTCTTCATAATTTAAATCCATTCTGAGTAAATGAATTTTATTTTCCCTCTAAATATCACAACAATACACCCATTAAAGTAACGCCCTGCCTTTTTTTTTGGTTTCCTAACTTATCTCCGAGAAAAAATCACAATAATTGCCTTAACAATAACCACAAGAATAAGGGAAATAAATTCTTTTAAATCGTCGTTATCATCATCAGGACATAATCTAAAGATCAAAACTGATTTGCACACGCACACACACACATCGGGACTTTTTCGCACCTTTTCTTTCTTTTTCCGGCACATTTAAACTGTCATAATACACCGCACCCATCACAAATGGCAATCTTGAAAATCGCACGCACACAATAGATTCGAAAACATTTGAAGGATCAAATAATGGCACGTTGCCTTGTGAAAACACATGTATGTTATCTTAAGGAAAAGAACAGAAGAAAAGAGCATAAGGTAAACCTATTTCCTTGTAACCGAAATCCTTTCTTCAGTTCGGTTCGGGACAAACAGTAAATACCTTTGCATAGATTTTTGAATTTGAGATTTGTGTGTGTTTTTCTTGCTTGGAAACATGAGTAGACAATTGATAAGTTACTACCAGACAGGATTATTGTTGAAATGTCAATTGGTTGGAAGTGATGTTGGTGGTGGTGGTGAGAGGAAGAAACAACTGTCGTTTTTTATGAAAGGGTTATTTGTGAGAGATTTTCACACATTTTGGGAGTAAATGCAAAATAATGGGCTTAATAGGTTTATTAAAAGGCTATTTATTTTTTGAAAAGGCTTATATTTGGGGTGAAATAATGTAAAATGAAATAAAAAGAAAAAAGTGAAAATAGAAAAGAATTTTGTCAAAAGATTAAAAATTGTCTGCAGTAATAAAGCATTTTTTAGAGAAAAAAAATCTATCCTTGTTACTATCTTCCTATCCATAGTATTTCAAATTATTTTCATAAAAATACAAGTTCATATAAAATAGTAGCTTTGAAATTACTTCAATAATATTTAAAAAGAATCAACTAATATAGGTCATCAATGCCTAGTGTAATAATAATATAATAATTCTTTATTTAAAACTTTTCATTTAATACAGTTTGAATCTTTGATTATTTATGAATATATTGTAAAACAAGAAAAAAAATAGTGTTTTTGATCGACAATGGTTATTTATTAACCGGATGTCCTTTCTTTGCGTTATGATTTTATAACGAATTATACTCGCTTAATAGTAATCTTCTATAATTTAAGGATGTTTTCAAATAGGACACGAGCTTATTCCAATGATTTGCCTCACGACCATCCAAAATGTTGACCATATCTTCCTCAGACTGTATCACAGCATGGAAAATTCTCAATCTGTATTCTCTCAGAATTGGACATTCTTCCAGAAAATGGAACAAGGTTTCATCTTGATTTGTATTACATAAGGTGGCATATTCTTCCCCTGCTGTCAATGTCGAATCTTGTCGCATTCAAATTAATCATTCCACACCTTGCTTTCAGAATCCATGAAATTTGGTCGCTACTAAATGAATCAGTAAAACAAAATTCTCCCCTAGAATAATCTAAAAATTTGTATATTCTAGTTTGGCTTTCTCATTTCAACCTTAAATTTTCCTGAAATATATGCAGCTTTTCGGAGTTAATAATATTTGATGTAAAAAGTTTCCATTCAAACTCATTTGCAGTATTATTGGGCATTGAACATTCAATCGTTGGGCTAAATTATTTGTTTGCTACCCAGAGTACTTTATTTTGAAGCAACAAATTGTTTAACTTGTTTGGTAGTCGGCGATCGTGGTAACTGTACATTATACGATGTAGATACTGAGTGTGTATAGATGAGTGCTAGTAAAACTGGGTACGTTCAATATTTTCTTCGGGAAATAACGCTGCAATTTATCCATCTCGTCGATGTAAGAAAATCCCCAGGCTTGAGCCGTATATGATTGTATTGCCCTGCATACAGATTGATAGACATTCCATTTCATTTGAATATTAACTTCGTTTTTTCCCCAGGAAGTTTTTCTAAGTCGAGTTTATAGCCATCTTTGATTGGCCTGTTCTGTTTTCAATGTGTTTTAAGAATGAAAGTTTTGGTGTGAAGGTAACGCCTTGATATTTGTATTCATTTGTAATTTTTATCTCGCTTCCACAGTCCGACCATTTCTCACTTCTACTAAGTCTACCGCCATTTCGGAATACCAGAATTTCAAATTTTGACATGTTAACAGTAAGATTCCAAATACGACAGTATTCTTCAAGATTGAATATCATGGTCTGCAGAGACGATATATCTTCCGACAGTATGACTATGTCATCTGCATATAACAGCAATCGTATATTCGTATTGTCTATGGTTATTCCGCCTTGCAAGATATTCATGTATAGGTGACAATGCGCAGAATAGGTGACAATGCGTAGTAATTCGGATAATTCCAAAAATTTATTTCGTTATATATTTTAGAGATTTTTTCTGCATTTACATCTAACTTAATTGTAATTTCACATACTATTTTATTGTTAATTATTTTAACAAAGAAAAATCTTTCCATGTTTTCATTGTTTCATTCTATTTCAACTCTCTCATCCTTTGAAAAATTTGAAAATTTAGGGGAAACCTTTTCGAAATATTCACTTCTAGAGCCGAGTCTCATAAGAAACGGAAAGTTAAACCACGGTTTCTGTTAGGAAATGTTACCCTGACAAGTTCGTTCTCTGCATTTCCTGTTTCCTTTTGTTTTCCATTTCACTTTCTTTGATTTGTGGTAATATGACACTAACAGAATTTTGCTTTCTTAGTTTGTTTTTTTTTTCCAAAATGACAATAGGTTCGTTTCATCAAATTAATTGTACAATTAATTTGCCAATTTCCCCAAAACAATGCCGAAGCAGAAAAATTTCCTAATTCCATCAATAAAACTTGTTAAAGTATCGCATGACCACAGCAAAAACTATTAGAAATAGTTTTTCGTGAAAATTGCTTTCACTATCGTCTATTTCGTCACTTAAGAAGAACTTCACAAAATTCTCCGAGAATAAAACATATGGAGGTTATTTTTGGTTTGAAATTAATACCCAAAAATATATGAACAAAAGAAAGGTATCAATGAAATGGTAGTGGAGGAGGTGGTGGAGGCGGTAAGGGTCAGTATTTTGCCATGCTTCAATGAAGCATAGCAACAAAGGATGTTCGTGGTACAACAACAACAACAATGAGGAAAAAAGGCTGGCAGGTCTTTTGGCTTAAACCAATTTTGTAATCAATTAGTTGGGAAAAAAGAAGAAGAAGCAGAGGGATGAAGTGGCCTAGCGATACAACAGCAACATAATTGTTAATTGATGTGTATATAATATGCTGATGATGGCAATGATGATGATGATGACGACGATGACCTGTGGCCAAGGCGGGTAGAAAATCATTGGGCATAGCATGCTAATGTGTGCCTGCTCAGCAGGAAAATCCAGAGGAAAATTG